GACCCACCAGCCTTTCGTTACATTTTCTCTCTGCCCAGCAATAAAGCTGGGGGAAGGCTGGCTGGGGGGCTGCTGCTCGGGGGCTGGCTGGGCACCGGCCGGCTGGTGGTGAATTGTTTTCACAATTGTTTTCATCTGCATCACTTGTCTTTCTTGGGTTTTATTTCTCTCTCTCTGTTATTTTCCCTTTTCATTACAATTTCTATTATTATTCAGTTATTAAACTGTTTTTATTTCAACCCACAAATTTTCTCACTCTTCCCATTCCAGTTCTCTTCCCCGATTCCTCTGGGGCAGGAGCGAGTGATCAGCTGTGTGGTTCTTTGTTGCCAGCTGGGGTTAAACCACAGCATCTACCAGACCCTGTGTCTTTTGGCGACAGCCTTAACATCTGTGAGCACCGACGAAGCGGATCACCTGTGTTTTCAGAAGCTGTGCTGCCCAGGGCCAGTCCTTGCAACCTCCTTCTTGTGAGAGGACGCTGAAAACGGGGCCATTACTGAAGGGTGGCACTGATCTGGTCGGTGGGATTTCTGAGCCTAGAAGGCAGAGGGGATTGTTACAGTGCTCCACGCTTCCCACAAACATCGAGTTAAATCTTTGAGCGACCTTTGCATTTCCTTCACTGGAACAGTCTTATGAGTATCTGAGGTTAACTGGCTGTGCTAAAGTTACTCCCTGTACTCGGCACTGGTGAGGCTGTGCCTGTGTTCAGTTTTGGGCCTCTCGCTACAGTGAGTTGCTGGAGCGTGTCCAGAGAAGGGCAACAAAGATGGTGAGGGGTCTGGAGCACAAGTCTTAAGAGGAGCGGCTGAGGGAACTGGCGTTGTTCAGTCTGGAGAAGAGGAGGCTGAGGGGAGACCTTATCGCTCTTTACAACTACCTGAAAGGGGGTTGTGGTGAGGTGGGTGTTGGTCTCTTCTCCCAAGTAACTAGTGATAGGATGAGAGGAAATGGCCTCAAGTTGCGCCAGGGGAGGTTTAGACTAGATATTAGGAAATTTTTCTTTACGGAGAGAGTGGTCAAACACTGGAACAGGCCGCCCAAGGCGGTGGGGGAGTCACCATCACTGGAAGTATTCAAAAAAAGTGTGGATGTGGCACTTCAGGACATGGTTTAGTGGGCATGGTGGTGTTGGGTTGATGGTTGGACTTGATCTTAGAGGTCTTTTTCAACCTTAATGATTCTGTGATTTTGATACCCAGTTGTTGTTGCAGTCACAGCCAAAAGCCTTATCAGAACCAGCTTCATTAAGATCTGTGTGTTAAACAATTAAGAAGTGCTGCTTTGGGAAGGCAAAGTGGGGTTAGCCATGAACACAGTCTGAGGAAGATCTCTGCATCTGCCATTCCTCAGGTTTTGTCAGTGCCCACAGACCTGCTGATAGATTTTCACCTGGTTGCGTGTATTAATGTTGGCTTGTCAAAGCAGTTTGGCATTCCTTGTTTCAGGCTTCCACTGGAGCCACGTTCCTGGCGTGATACTGGCTCAGTTGAAGTCTGTCATCTAACTTGTACAGTTTGTATTGAAATTCATGCTTTCTTTTTAAGCGGCTTTTTACTTGTGCAAAGGTGGCGGTCATGTGTTGTCCAAGACAAACATGGAGGGACTGGATAGACTCTAGTCCTTCCTTAATCATTTGTGAACTGACCATCCCACAGCTTAGCACCATTATTTAGGGTTACAGGACATGACACACAGTAACTTGATTCTGTTTTTTCATGTTCCCTTGGACTTGACTTTGCTTTGGCACATGGCCAAGGGAGCAATCTTTAGAATTGAGGGTAAAGGCTGATTGCCTTTATGGATTTCCAGACGCCTTTTGGCACCGAGCCTTGAGACCACAGGGAGTGAGGCTTTCCTTGCCCACAATCTCTCCAGGCTGTGTGCAAAGCACAGAAAGCCAGCTGCTCCACACATGGCTTCCAGGATGGACTGTTGGCTAAACTTAGAGGGTTTAAGCTCAGTTAAGATGTCATGATACTTTCCCCAATATGTTCCCTTTAACCTCAGCTTCATTTGAAGAGCACAGTTTAGTTGGAACTGTCTATTTATCTTCCTTTATTTTGGTTTTAAACTTGTTTAACTTTGGCTTGTTTTTAAGAGTGGGACAAGGCAAAAAGTGAATTCTAGCCTAATTGGAATTAGTGTGACCCACTGGGAATGAAAAAGAAGCAGGTATTCTTAGTTTGTCAGCACAGAAGAAGTTTTGGTGGTATAACAGTGTCCTGGTTTCGGCTGAGGTAAAGTTAATTTTCTTCCTGATAGCTGGTATAGTGCTGTGTTTTGGATTTGGGATGAGAAAATGTTGATAACCTGATGTTTGGGTTGTTGCTGAGCAATCAAGGTCAGTCCAGCTTCTCGTGCTGGGCTGCCAGCGAGCAGGCTGGGGGGGCACGGAGAGCTGGGAGGGGATGCAGCTGGGACAGCTGACCCAGGCTGGCCAGAGGGATATTCCATACCATATAACATCATGCTCAGTATGTAAAGCTGGGGGAAGAAGGAGGAAGGGCGGGACGTTCAGAGTGATGGCGTCTGTCTTCCCAAATAACCATTACGTGTGATGGAGCCCTGCTTCCCTGGAGATGGCTGAACACCCACCTGCCCATGGGGAGTGGGGAATGGATTCCTTGGTTTGCTTTGCTTGTGCACATAGCTTTTGCTTTCCCTATTAAACCGTCTTTATCTCAACCTATGAATTTTCTCACTTTTACCATTCCGATTCTCTCTCCCATCCCACTGGGGAGGAGTGAGCAAGCGGCTGCTTGGGGCTTAGCTGTCGGCTGGGGTTAAACCGCGACAAGCAGCGTGGGTAAACTTGGTTCCTGAAGGCATAGCCTGTACCAGAGAAGTTTCAAGCAATATGAGTTAAACTGATTTCCCTAATGAATTAAAGTGTATTAAGTGGTGAAAGAACAGGGTGGTGATGTAGCTTTGCTCTGTGAGGGTTTTGCTAGCACAGCTATGCTCTTCTGAAGAGTGTGTTTAATTATCTTAATTGATATGATGTTGGTACTACTTTTAAGTGCTTGTTAGAGTATGTCCCCCCAGATCAAATGTGCCTGCACATACAATTACTCAGGAATAGCATCAAGTCTGGGCCAGTTTTAGTATGAATTGAAGTGTGTACAGGTCATGCGTTAACTGGGAAAAGGGCAAAGAAAATCAAAACAAGCCATTGGAGCAATTTTTCACCATATAACTAAAGCAGTTAAATTGTTATAGGGGACATGGGTACGACCATCCGAAGCATCTGAGACCTCCTGGCCTTTCTCATGTACTGAGCTACTCCCAGACTTTCTTTAAACTTCTCCTTTAAGGAGTATTCACATATTTAGCTGTGTGATCTAGTCCAGTTAAAATCCTTCTTTTTAGGCTGTTAGTCAAGTATTTCTGACATTGTGGCCTACTTGTAGTGGACTGAAAACCCAATGAAGAGCCTCTGTCTTTGTTTTTAAAGTCCAGGTACTCTTACAGTAATACTTCATAAGTCCATGAGAGCAATACTTCTGTAAGTAGGAAGGTTTAGGTGGCTTTACAGCATCACTTTGAAGCCAGAGTGAGGCACGGTGTGATTCGCTGCATGCGAACATTGGTTCCTTCATCCTGCGCTGCATGTGAATATTCAAGTGGTTGATGTTTCATTTAAGCAGAGAGACACGAATATATCTTGTCATAACTACTGGCTGATTTTTGTGTTTTGCTTTTTCCATTTAGATGACATTTTAGATGAGGCAACAAGGAAGGACCTCTTCACCGACACTTTCTGTAAGGTTTGTGGGGCAGTGCTGCAGTTTGAGTCTCAAAGGACATCACACTATAAGGTAGGCTGGAAAGGAGAATTTCTCCTAGCAAGCACTGGAGCTTTGGTTTATTTGTTTGGGGTTTCTACATAGTGTTATAAAAGACTTTTTATAGTGTGTTTCTCAAGGTTTATGCTAGGTGTGGACATTAACCTGACTTAAATATTGTGAGTCTACTAATAGTGAAGGGCGATCACCTGCATATTGCAGCATGATTTTAGATGGAACTGAGCAGGTTCAAGCCATGCTGTATATGGGATTGAAGCAGATCTGCACCACGTGAGCCAGAACATATGTATGGCACTGGGCAGTGCTAGCTACAGAGGATTGAGGTTGTGCCTCCTGAGGCTTCATCCAGTGGTACACACGTGCTGCTCTGTGCACCAGTGTCTGCTTGAGGCATGTTGTATGAATCCTGCTGAAGGCATTTCTTGGAACAGTTGTGTGCTTTGGGATATTACTGTAGACACGGGCAAGCATGGTTTGTCTTGAAACTTGATCCTGAGAATGTGCAGGTTTGCAGGCATAGGCATTTCTGTCTTTTTCTTTCTTCTTGAAAAAGTTAGTTTAAAATGTCATTTGCTGTCAGAAGTCTTTCTTGCTATTCACATTACTAAGACTCCGGTCTTGCAAGGTGTTGTATTTACTTACTTCAATTTGACTTAAGGAGCATTTGTGCTGTCTGAACTTCACAGAGTTCAGACCCTCAGTATGATGTTCTGTTTCTTGGATCCAAATCCAGTTGAGAATAATAGATGCAATTGTAAAGTTACCTGACTTCACCATTACAAATCAAATTGATGGAAATAACGACTCTTTTTTTTCTCGGTTGTATTATCTAGCCAGGTATGATAGGACCACTTTCATAATATTGTTATCATATGCTGCACTGCTCCTCAGAATCCTTAAAGGGCATCTGAAAAGCATCAGATCAGAGAAGGCAAGTTACTACTTTTGCTTTGTAGGTTACCACTATATAGGGTGGCATGTAGGTAAGTGCGTTACAAGTGCAAGAGTTTGAAGGTTATAGGTTGAGAGAGCATCTAAGAATTAAAAAATAATTGCATCTAAGGAAGTATACGTTAACACCCAATTTTAGTTACCTGGACTATTGTATCCTTGGTAGAAAGGTGTAGAAATCTCCATAGACTGACTCCAAGCTGGAGATACTTTCACTCAACTTCCAGGAAAATCTGTTTCTCTCCACTGACTGTATGGGAAGACTAGATTTCTTTAGGAAGGTAAGTTCAGCCGTGCTGCCTGTCATTCTTCTGTGCCAGGACATGGGACAGCCTTCATGTCAAGCCCCCAGGCTTAGTGGTAAAGGAGTACAGCAGATATGCTCTGTTGCATGGCCGCATTCCTTTCCTTACTCATTTTAGTGTCCCTGTTTATAAGGGGACGTGTCAGGGTTTTTGATTCCCCAAATAGTTGAGAGTGGATGACTCTGGCTGCTTGAGGCAAAACGTTATGAGTAATACTAAGTACTATATTATTGATTAAAGTATAGTATTGTTGCATGAGCTGGCGTTTGTCCTCTTGTGGCTCTACTTTATACAAATACAATTTGGCAAGTATTGAAAGCAGTTTTTGACGAATGAAGTCCAAGTCACTGGATATATCACTGCTTGGATCCTTGTTACTGGAATAGGAATAATTCTAGTCTCTTCCCAGAGCAAAAAGCATGCTCAGAAAGTTCGTGTTTACATCCAAATGCATGGTGAGAAGGATGAAAGGCAGGAGCGTGACAAACAGAAGAAAACAGATTGTGTCAATTTTCAGGTGACTGTTCCTCTCCATCTCTAAATAAAATGTTTCCTTGTGTGCTTCAGTGAAGTCTCGTAACTGAGCTTGCCCTTGTCTGGTTTCAGATGGATGGGAGTGGAGTAGTGGACAAAAGCAAATACTGTGACCTCTGCAACATGTTTTTTACTTCCTCAGTCGTTGCTTTGTCTCACTACTTGGGAAAGATCCATGCTAAAAAACTGAAGCAATTATCAGGAGACCAAACCCCCATGCCAGCACAGAGCGTGCAGCCTGTTTCTGGTAAGAACTAAATAGTTTGCTTTGTATGTGTTTTCCTGTCACTCTCTGAAACAAATACAGAGAAGTATATTCCTACACTTGCCATGTCTCCATGCCTTTCTCTTCTGCCAAAGTTGTGGAGCTGTCTTGTGGTAACTCCTTAGGTGAATAAACAAAGATGCTACCCTGTGCAATTATGAAGCTTTCAAATTCCCTATCTTTCATTGACTGAAACTAAAGGCAAATATTTCACGTTTTTTCTTAATGAAAGGTGCTTATTGTTGTTCTGAGAATTCATTGCAGTCCCAACAAGATGTTCCTCTGATAAATTAATATGATAAAAAAATTAAAAAACAATCAGTCCACGAGCAACACTTAACTGCTGTTAGTCCTGTACAAGTTGCTGAACTGTATTTAAAGATGGAGCATGGTGTATGTGCTCTGAACCACCTTCCGCAGGGTACCTCTTTCTTCTTGGACTGTATAAGGACCTTAGAGTGACTAGCCATCAAACACGGCTGATCTTTACGTATCTAATGGTGTGGTTTCTGAAATATTCCAGGATTGTGTTCCTTATCAGTCTGTACTTTCACATCCTTGCAAGGACTAAGATGAGACTATAGTCTCTTGCAAGTAGTTCAGCACCCAGCAAACTGTTCTCCTTTCTGGCTCTGTAGTTCTTCAGTCACCTGTTCTGCTCCATGGAACTGTTTTAGCCTTTCCTTTGCTGTGCTTTCAGTGGATTTATCCTTTACTTCCATGTCTCCAGCTCTACAGAAGCCATCAGCTGAGAAGCCCTTGGTACCTTCAAATGCTGAAGAGTCTTCGTCATCCTCCAACACAAGGCTGAAGTTAAATGATCCAGACAAGTACTGCAAGCTCTGCTGTGCTCCCTTCAATAATCCACTTGTGGCCCAGGAGCATTATGTTGGTAAGAAACACAGAAGAAATGAAGCACGGAAAAAGATACTGGAGGAGCTAGGAGACAAAGCTGTCCCTGCAGAATCCAGCACAAATGGTAAGTGGAACATGAGCAAGTGTTGCAATCTCTGAGTGTAGCTTAAGTGCTCAGTTCTGATTTGTTCAAGGAACTGCTCTGATGTGTGCAAGGGAATGATAGTCTTCTGTGTTACTGAACAAGTTCATTTCTTCCTTTCTGTTTGGTCTATGAACTGCTAAATTTCCATCTCTGACAGCTGGAGGTTGGAAAATAATTCTTACTGACTTGGAGACCCAAACCCAGCCCTCACTGAGTTCTGAAGTCAAATTCAAAGGATCATAGAAAATAGCCCAGTCCTCTAAGTCCAAGTCCAGGATCTGTATCATTTTATCTGTATCATTCTTAAGATGTTCATCTACCTTGTTCTTAAAAACTGTCTGTGTTGGAAACTCCACAACCTCAATAAGAAACATCTCCCAGGACTTCTTCATCTGTACCTTCCCGATCTTAAAACCTTCTACTGACATTGAACTTAGTGCTCTCTGATCGCAATGTATTTCTTCACTGTGAACAAGAAGCAGACACAAGAATTGAATCATTTGTTTCCTTTTTGTCGCATTCTTTAAATAATTGAAAACTGGTGTCATGTCTTCCATTAATATTTTATTCATTAAGCGGGTTGTCATAATTATTTCAATCTTCCCACCTAAGGAAATTTGTTTCCTAAACAGTCACTGCTCACTAGCCTCCTGTCAGGACTGACTCCAGCTCAAGCGCTGTGTCTAAAGCCAAGGCCCTGTTGCTGTGCAACTTCCATTAATTTTGAGGGGGCATCATCTGGTCCTGTGCAACAGAACTGTCCATCCTTTCTTTAGTAAGGAATTAAAAATCCTACCTCATAGTCAAAAGTCATTGTTAGTATAAAACAGCTCTCATTAAATCATGCTATAATTTAAACAAAATAATATGTTCTGATGCAAAGCAATAGCCCATAGAATTAGTGCTGCATTTTGCTAATGGATGAAGCTCTTGGGTTTGCATGGGGAAAAAGGTTACTCACTGGTTTAAGAATACTTAGGTCTATGGATGACACAGCTTGTAGGAGAGGAGGAAGTGACAACCTAGAAAACACAAGGTTTTCCTCATCTGACCTTACCTTATATTTGCCTGAGACTCTGTGTACCATGTTCATAAAGCACTGTATCAACAATTCCCTCTGCATCTTCACGGAGTTGAACCAACGCTGCATGAACATTTGAGCAGGTAATGTTTAAACTGTTTTTAATTAAATCTGGACTGACTGGATTGGTATCTGTTGGTGCTTGCTTTGTGTCAGGTATTTACAATAGTATTTAATTTTTCAGTATAGTTCATTCTCATCAGCATGTGACAACAGTTTACTGGAATTCTCTTGGATCACGTCAGTCATCAGAAATACTCTTTGCGAATGTTTGAACCGTGGTTACGCTGCAACTGTACACCTCACCAGCTCCCTTCATAAATATTCTTCTAGTGTAAAATTGCAGCAGAGACTGTATCTGTCTAAAAACGCTGTTTATGGGAACATTATCTTAGGACTCTTGCATGGGATGAGATCGTGATGTGCTCTGAGTTTTGCCTTTCATTTGCAGTCTCTCTAACCACCAGGTTCTTTCTTTTCAGCAGTTGGGGTTGGTTGTTACATGTGCCCCGTATGTAATGTCATACTTACTTCTATAGAAACATACCAGTCCCACATGCAAGGAAATAAGCACCGGATTAAGTAAGTCAATAAATCTTTTGTTACTATTCCTCTGTAGTTTGTGCTTTCAGATTTTTTCATTAGCCCTGTTGCTTGCTGTTAAGTGACTTTGACTAGTTCGTGGGGCTTTTTATTTGGGATTTTTTGGTTGTTGTTTAGTTTTGGTTTGGTTTACTGGTTTTAAGTGGCACTGTCCATTTAAACATCACACTTGTGACTGAAATTCAGTCTTAGAATTTGCACAGTTGCATCTTCAATGACAACCCACAGGAAAGGTCCTGAAACCCATTTTGCTATCTGGGGGTAGCAGCACCTGTTTTGGTACAGCATCTTCAGTGCTCAGTCTAGAAGGAAATGGTCTGAACTTGAAGATTCCTATTGGCAGGTCAAAGACGACCTTAATCCTGAAAAGTGCCAAGTCTCCATCAGTTGTGTTGCTTTCAGGATTCATCAACACGCATCTTACATTTGGCATAAGATCATTTATGGGGTAGATGATAGCTCTTGTACTTTCCCTTTTACCCAGAAGAGGGCTTATAGACTGTGTTAATTGCAGAATGGATCTTGTGGTGATTTAAGGTGTACTTTTTGGAGATTGCTGTGCAAGTAGGCTAAGTATCAAAATTGCTTACATGTTAAGCATTTTGATAAGGCATATTTTAAGTGAAGGCACAATAATAATATAACCACAAGAGACTGACATAGATATGATTTTAAATGTTTGTTTCGTCAAAAGAATTGGTCCCCAAAACCAGCAGTGTAGGG